ACTGATTTTGTTACTCTTTTCCTTACCAAAGGTATCTCTCTTTTAACTCTAATTCTCCTAAGAAGACTTTGAACTAGTACAGACGTGAAAAAGTGTTATGGATCTTCGCTTATATATCCAACTGTCCCTTACACCCTTCTTTCTCACACAGTCCAGTTATAGTGATACTGGGAAGCATATAGATGAGTGGCAATGCCAGCCATTGAATCAATGGTTTGAAGCTCTTCATTCATTTTCCTTCTATTCCTGGCAACCATGTTGGCAAGGCCTGATTTCTGGAATCTCATCCCTAGTACATTTGTGTAACGTTGATGTTAATTTTTCCTACCATCATGCTAGCTGAAAATCAGTGATTGGTAGTTCAGACTTTAGAAAAGGATATAATGTATCAATACTCCAGAAGCTCCCAGGTAATCACTAAATGTTTAATTAGTAGAATTAGTAAAGGATATTTGTTGCTTTTTGTAATAGTCTTGCTGCTTTCAAAAAGAAACTGTGGATCCTAAAACATCTACAATCCAGCCTTTAACAAGCTAATCTATACCATACTGTTAAAGTGAGAGTAATTTATATCCAGGGTGGTGGTCATTACTTAGCTGGCACACTGTTTGTTTGCTAACATTATTTGGCAGAGTACACAGTCATAACAAAGAATTTCAACCCACCTAACAGGACTGTCCTTCATCTTTCTCGGCCAGTGTGGTTTTCAAATTGAGCTTGAGCTCTGTATTTTTGTTTGTTGTTAAATGCCCTATTTAGCTTTTGAAAATGTGCCTATATAATTTCTGTAGTCTGTGGGGAGATTTCTGGTCTGCTTTCTATTAGAGATGGCACCATCATTTGATTTATTTTTCCTCCTAGCTGGAGTCTGTATAGTCTTGTGGAACTAAAAACTTTGAAAGTTTTATGTTTAGTTGCTCTTAAGGAGCAATTGTATGTTGATATTTTTGAGTTTGGAAACTTCATCTGAAATAAAATCACACTTTATTATATTGATCGCAATGAATCATTGAGAGAGGTTTCTGTGAGACAAACATACATTCTATTGAATGTTGACACATACATGTCAGTTAGATGTACCAAGGGACTTTTCTGCTTCTACTCTTCATTTTATTTCACTCTAAAGGACTGGGTGAGGTTTAATAGGTAAAATATTTCAAACTAAATAATCTTTGTTGCTGAAGTTCCATTGAAGTCCACACACATGCTTGAGTGTTGTCCTAAATAAGAGATGCTTTCTGAGAATTGGAAACTAAATTTGCCTCATGTTTTTGGAGGCTTTGCTGTAATTACATGCAAGCAGCCTTTATATGTTGAAATCCATTGTTTGGTGCAGTGGCTGTTAACCAGACAACAGCAAATATTAACCACTGCTCCACTTCACTGTAAATGCAGCTGTTTAATAGTGCTGTGGTTCTCAACCAGGGGTATGTGTACCCCTGGGGGTACACAAAAGTCTACCGGGGGTACATCAACTCATCTAGATATTTGCCTAGTTTTACAACAGGCCACATAAAAAGCACTAGCAAAGTCAGTACAAACTAAAATTTCATACAGACAATGACTTGCTTATACTGCTCTATGCACTATACACTGAAATGTAAGTACAATATTCCAATTCATTTATTTTATAATTATATAGTAAAAATAGAAAGTAAGCATTTTTTGAGTAATAGTGTGCTGTTACACTTTCTTGTACTTGTATGTCTGATTTTGTAAGCAAGTAGTTTTTAAGTGAGATGAAACTTGGGCATACGCAAGACAAATCAGACTCCTGCAAGGGGTACAGTAGTCCGGAAAGGTTGAGAGCCGCTGTGATAGTGCATACGTTAATCCTGAACATGAGTACATGACAGGAAGTGAAGAATACCCCCTCTACTGTAGCTACAGGGGAAGTTTGGGAAAGTGGCTTAATTTCAGCATTCCAGGATATTTGGGCTAACCCCTTACTCTTACAAAAAAATTGATATGGGATCCTCTTACAACCTCTTATGGCTCAATCCCCAAAAACGTTTGCAGTTGTGTATGTCCATGTGCATTATTTTAAGTCTTTGTTCTGCATCGTCTGATGGAAAAATTTAAGGGGGAAGAAGGGAGACCTACGCACCAAGTAATCCTGGATTCATAGTAAAAGCTGAAAGACGCTTGTTGTCCAAGTGCTCACGAGTATGTCTTCAAACAGATTCTGAAACGGGGGTAGAATTGTGACCATTAACTTTTACTACAGATGTGACTCATCACCCAGAGGGCTGTTATAAGAAGTTGGCTATATGCAAGAACCTGCATTTTGTTCCTAACATGATGGGTTGGGATAGGAATATATAAAGCATCTTATTACATAAGATTCCAGTCTCAAGGCTCAAGTGGGTGGGGTTCAGTAGAGTGCTCACTGGAGGGAGGATATTAAGAAAATATCTTAATGTTCAACAGCTGCAAGAGGCTGTACTTGTTGGCAAGCAGATAGACCCGGCTGGCTTTTCTGACTGCAGTGCCAATACAGCAAAGGAGCCCTGCAGGGATATAACTGCTTTACTGCTGATACTCCACCTGCCATACTGTTGTTATAGTGAGCGTACATTGATTTCATTGGAATGGCAGAACATAATTTTTACATACAGTAACTTCAGTATTAGAGGTTTGTGTTTTCTTGGTGTATGGTACACTAGTAGCTTGGGCAGTAGTCAACAGGGTCATATTTTTTTAGGCAATTTTAATATTATTTGGGACGGGAACTACCTTTTTTTCCTGTTTTACTGTGCCTAGCGCAATGGGGTCCTAATCCATCACCAAAGCTCCTAGATGGTACCATAATGCAAATAACAGATTATTTTTCATTTATTTTTCTTGACTGCAGTACGCTAGAGTCCATATGCATGCAACTATGTACATTTTAACTTGAAAAGTATTGTGTATGGTACGTATGATACATATTCCAAACAAAGTTCTCTGTTAATGTTTGGGTTAAACAGTTAGGTACTCAAGTAAATAAATACAAAAATTAAGATTGCATGCACATCCTTAACTCAGCCTTTTCCAGCATGTCCATTATTATAGTTTTTAATGACATAATTCCATTATTTCTGCAATTTATCATACTTTTTCTACAGTGTTCAGTACTCAAGTAATATCTTGTAACTATTTGTATCTACACTTGCACTTCTTTCATTATATTAATTGTCCAGTATTTCTTTGACTTAAAATATTATTTAAAATACTTTTATATGAAATTGATTACTGCTTAAGATATATTTTAATAATTGAGTCAGATGTACAACATCTTCTTTTCACCTTTCCAAAGATGCTATTCAGTGGATGATACACTTAACTCTGAATCTAAGTTGCCTATCTGTGTCAGCAAGCTGTCACGCTTCTGTTATACTGAAGTATGTTTAGCAAATATGGTTAAATGACTTTAATGTACTTTGTTAGTTTGGCATATAGGGTAGTGCACAGTTCTGCATGATATCCATACATAAGTTTGTAGAAAAGGTAATATGTAGTTTAGAGTACATTTTGATGCATACGTACAAGGGAGCAGAACTATAGTTGTGCAGCCTTAAAATCTTGATTTTCAGACTTCTGAGTGCTTAACCCTGTAACTTTACTTCACTGATCATAATGTAGGGAATTTATAGTATTTTTTAAATAAAAACTGGGGGGAGGAGGTCAGACAAACATAAAAAACGTCACTCTCCAGGACCTCAAAGCTTTGCTGGCTTGCCAAAAATGAGCAATACTTTGTTTTAAATTTCATAATTTGGTACAGTATGGTTAAACACAGCAGAACATCATGTCCCTTTCACATTAGGCCCACAAGAGAGGACTCCTCTTCTGCAAACTTTAGGAACTGAGCAACTAAAGGTGCATCTTGCAAAGTACACAGAAATAGCCCCTCAGCCCTTCACACCTAGAATGTGCACAAGTACTGAGGAAATGGCTACTTTAGATCTCTGGCTCAGCCCTTGCACACCTTCATGAAAACTAGCCATGTGTGCAGGTGCAATGTCCTTCCTTACACACTTAATGAAGAAGTGATATGCAGCATTCTACTCCAAAAAGCTCAAATCAGAACAAATTTTCACTGCGGTACTCAGAGGCACTTTTTCTCAGAGAGCTATTACCTTGCCAAATTTCATTTTTCAGTTCATGGCTCTTTCAATTGCAGGACTGTTTTAAGAGAAAAGTTCAAGATTTTTTTTTTTATAATGGGAGAAGCGTAATTTTTTATTTCAGGTCCTAATCATCTTCTCGACCTCTGCCCCAATCGCTGATAGTCCTTGCTGGTTGGACTCAGGATCCCCTCTCAGATGTCATCTAGTGATGGCCCTGGCCCCTCGGCTCCCTGCTCTGACTTCCCCAGACAGTCCTTCTAGTGTTCAGCTCTGCCTTTGCTCGGCCAGCATGTTCTGCTGCATTACTTATGGTCTCCATCAACTTTTTTGCATCCACTCCCATGTCGTCCTGCTCTCCCAATCAGCAGAACACATGCAGTGGGTGACGGAGAAGGGAGACCGCAATGCTTGACAAGCTGTTCAGCAGGGATATGCAATGCAAAAGCCTCCTGAGTTATCACTGCAGGTATCTTCAGAAGTGTTAGGAGTAACAGGCTGCAACTTGGTCCCCTGGCCTAATCAGATATGTTTGCATATATATATACTATTATAACTTCAGTCCTTTACTCATTTTGATTCTTATTGTCATCAGAAGCACTTCCAGGTGAACAGTGCCTACCTTGCTTTGAAACATGCATTATCATTCTTAGCTGTTGCTATCCACGGAATTTGTCAATTTTGTCTGTCTCACATGCCATCAGCCTCTATTAGCTACTATATCATGGATCTGTCAAGAAAAGGAAAAGTTAGGTATCTGTTGTTGCAATACAAATAGCCTTTGGTCACCTTTCCAGGGAAGTACTTTATTTGGAGATTTGCTTAAGGCTTTCTCAAGAACTAAATAGTTGTTTCTCTTCCTAAGTTCTACCTGTCTTGTTTTTTTCTTAGGGTTCAAGAAATCAGTGACTTACAGTATGAAGAAAATGTATAAAATGACAAAAGGATGGCTAAGGAAGACTTCCTGATGTCCAAGTTGTGTACATACTATGTATAGGTAAATAAACAGACCTCTTTTTCTCTGCAAATATTGTGCAGTTGGTACCTGTTGCTTTATCTACCTATGTAAACTGTGGATAGGTAGCAATAATTATACTATGTATACACAAATACTTTCTCACATGGGGTGCGGACCTCATTGGGTGCAGATAATTTGCTAAAGGCTGAGGGAATTCATTTGCAAGTATACTTAAGGTTTTCCTGTGTGTATTAGAGATTTGACTCTGAAATACATTTGCCAGAAATGCTTGTTTGCACATCTGAAAGCAAACAAATAAAATTCCTGTATGTTTGATAGAATCTGGACTATTTTGGAAAAGAAAACTTTCTTCTCAAGCTTTATCTTGTTCTCTTCTCCAGTCTCTTCTGAGGAGTTTATAGAATTGTGGGGTCCAGTTGAATTTTAACTAGATATTAAAACTTTCCCCATACAATGCTTTCTTTTTTATATTAAGTCCATTTGAGCACACATGTATTTTAAGAGTGCAATATTTACTCTATAACCCTTCTGCAGAGTGGGATCCATCAAGAATACATTTTTCTCTCTCACAACCCAGAAAATACTTAATGAGAGAGAGGCATTTTGGAGGATATATTTCACTGTGTGTGCCATGTCTGGGAGCGTAGGTAACTGAAGAGTTACGAGCCGGTAAGGTATCTTAAAGGTCAGCCATTCTTGGCAATCCTTTTAGTTGACAGCAACATAACTCACAACCAAGTAGTGGCTGGGAGGTTATATTTCAAAACAAGGTCAATTTTCATTAAGCTTCTGGGTCCAGTAATGTGTAAGTTACACAATATATTTTAAGTGTTCTGCACTACCAACTCACAAAGTACTTTAAAATCAGTCTGGTTAAAATCATGGAAATTGTTGTTAGTTACAGTATAAACTACTTGATTAATGTAAATTGTAAAATGTGTGTGAAAATATTGACCATAAGGATAGAACCTATTTTCCTCCAATTAATCAGATCAGCTTTACAAAAGAGATTCAACTACCATATTCCTATTACTTGTCAATAAGTTATTAAAGATGCGGTCAGTGGAGGCATTGACCTTTTAATGTAAAGAGAATCTTTGATATGGTGTTCTAGATGTATCTGCTGTAGATAATGGGAATGTTTGAGAATTCATTTTTCTCTTTGGATCAAGTGGCTTTACTTACTTATCCAAAAATGACTTTTCTTAACAGGTGTTCTCCATATGAAGGGTCTTGACAGGGGCATCCTTTTTCTCACTATTTGATCTGGTTTTAAAGCCAGTGGCAGTTGCAATAAGGGAAAAACATTAATATAAAGAGGTTAGGAATTTAAAAGTAACTTTCCCACAGACTATATCTTTTGTTGCATAACCTTAATTTCTGAAATCTATCATTTGATTTCATTTAATTAGAAGTTTTAGGAAAATCTTAAATTTCAAAAGGAATTGAGGGTGTAAAACCAGCTGTTACCTATTTCCAAGGAGTAATTTAAGCATATCATGCAGCTTGGCAATTTGAGTGGGAAGCTGAGGAAATAACATACTGTAAGATCAACAAGGAGTCTGGTGGCACCTTAAAGACTAACAGATTTATTTGGGCATAAGCTTTCGTGGGTAAAAACCTATACATCTGAAGAAGTGAGGTTTTTACCCACGAAAGCTTATGCCCAAATAATCTGTTAGTCTTTAAGGTGCCACCAGACTCCTTGTTGTTTTTGTAGATACAGACTAACACAGCTACCCCCCGATACTTGATACTGTAAGATGGCTCATTAATTCAGTTCTGCTTTCATCACCATTGAACAGATGTTACAATCTATGATTTTAAAATCCTGAAGAGCTTAAAGTGGTTAAATTTTAAATCTAGAGTCAGTAAATAAAACTAGATTGTTCCATTGAAAGCTTTATTGGAATAAGACTGGTAATACAGAACAATGAATATCCTCCCAAAGCCATTGTTCCTATTAACTCCCTTTCCTATATGTATATTCCTAGCATTTAGTCACCCATCAGTAGTTGGTTACAAATCTTGGAATAGGGGCAAGGAAACCGGATAAACATTTCTGTAGTGTGTATACTTTTTGATAGTGGTAGGCTTTAGGTTTCCAAACTTCCAGGAATACATGTTAGGCTAAAATTTCCATATTGATTGTTTCGGGAGGGGGGGGGGGAGGAGGGGGAGGGGAAAGTAGAGACCGCAAGGAGAATGCCTGAAAACCCATTCCTTCCATGAGTTGCCAATATTATAATAGTAAGTCTCTGCTTCATACTATTAAGTATGTTAGCTATGAATCAGTAAGCCTAGGATATTCAGAAATGCAAGAGAAAGTGAAACTGGGAAAACAGGTTAGTCTCCAAGCACAAAGAAAAAGAATATCATCCCCACATAATAGGTGAAAGGTAGTGTCATCCTTGCATCACCTTTAAATAGAAAATAAGTGTCACTGCTTTTAACTGTGGCATATTCTGCAACAAAAATTATTCAGATTAGGAAACAGTTGTATATCTAGCTCTAGCATTGTGCTTTAGGAGTAGTAAGAGGACAAAGTGTGAACTCTTCAGAGAGGGGAATCTAACTAAGTGGCATACACAAGGAGGATGGGGTTGAGATGTAACAAAAGACAGACCAATGGAGCTGGGGCACATAACTAGTTAGTTCCTCAGGTTTTTGTTGGATTTTTTTTGGGGGGGGGGGTAGGGGGGTGTTTAAAAATAAAGGTTCTGCTCGACAACCTGCTAGTCTTGTGTACAAAATACCACTATCTTAACCAAAAATAGATATGGAACAAATACTTGAATAATCCCACAAATGATGTATTTTGAAGTAAAATGAGTACAAATTTTCTGAAATCAATTCCTGATTTAAGAATGAGGCTTATTCAGCAGCAAATTCTTTTAAGAATGTTGGACACCATTCAGAATGGCAAAGGTAGAAATAGGAGATAATGGCAAGACAAATGCAAGCCTATTTCCTATACGGTTCAAATATCTCGAAGTATGATGTTGGAGGGCTAGATGAGTGTAATCACCCCACTGGAAAGTTAAGTCCCAATTTGACAGTGTGCTGATGAGCCATCCTGCATTCCATTAAAGTGGAGGAAGTGCGCCAGGCTGCAGGATTTAGTCCATGATAAAAATCATTAAAAGGAATGTATTTCTCTGTAGAATTGTATTTTTCTGTGTATGTGTATTCTGTTTTTGTAATCAAACTTTGAAAAAATAAAAATATTTTATATCAGGAAAATATCCACAGTGGTTTTGTGTGGAAAAAATAATTTAGGTTCATAAGGTGCCTTTCACTGAACATGGGAGTGAAGATTGAAAGAATCTCAGTAACAAGAATCTACAAACCGAATGTATATTACCAGATAATTCAAGTAGAGAACTAAAAAATTGCTCCAACAAATTAACCTATTTGTTGTATCCTCTTCATATTTCACATAGGATGTACCAGTTCTTCTTACCTGAGGGTGGTTATAATTCTATTACACCTAGAGGCCTCAACAAAGATCAGGGTTCCACTGTGATAGGCATTGTACAAACACACAATAGTTTTACAAATGTGAAGAGCGTACATTCTAAACAGGCAAAACAAAGGGTGGGCAAAAGGAATATCAGTATCCCATGATTCACAGTGAGGTGAAGAAGGATTAAATGACATGTCCACGGTAAAAAAAAAAAAAAATATCTGTTGAGCTGAGAACTGAACCCAGATCCCCAGTCCAGTGTCTTGTCAACGATATCAGATTTTGATCTGTAAAGTCGTAAATGCTTTGTCTCCCATTGCTTCAGTGGCTGTCTCAGAGATTTCCTATCTGCTGCTGAGCCTGTTAAAATATTATGAGACGCCTGAGCTAATATCTGGCTAAGAGCACTATTAGCAAAGCTCTTAAGCACATGCTTAACTCAATCCTTATTCACATTAGGGCTTTATGTTTCAATATGACTGGACCTCAAAGATTTGATTCTAACTACATTTCCATCCTTCGGTTACTTTCAGTTGTTTCTTTGTTTTTATTTTTTTAAATAAGGCAAATAGGGAAGTATGAATAGACCCTTCACTAAAAAATCCCATTAGGATGTTTTATATTGTAACATACTCATATTTCACTCTTTTCATCAGAGTCCTCATTGACACAAGATCTTGGGATAAGCAATTGGTTATGTTTAAAGTGAGTAAGGAAATGCATTAAAGGTGAGTTTGAGCTGTGGAGGAGGGGGTGAGAGTTAGTTTCTAAACAAACCAGAAATCTAATAATGTTTTAATGTGGGATTGCTGTTTTGAGAGGTGCCACCCATGAAAAATGGTTCAAAACTTTAGAAATAACTTGATCTTATCTGTGAGAGTGAGGTTTGACCCCAGTTTCTGCTATAGAGCAGAGTTGTCTTCATTGTGAGCCTACTTAGCTGAGCAAGGGCATATGTTTAATAAGTAATGTTCTCTGGGGTGGGGGGATGTATTGCTCTCTGCTCAACAGCTAAGTAAACATTTTTATGTGCAACAGATGTTTTGTATTGAGCCAAACCCTCCAAAGCTTTAAAATGCATGCCCCTGCCAGTGGCTCAATCTCTTTCACATTACAGGTGTTACTTTATTGTAAAGATTGCCTGTAACTTGAGTTGGTTTTATTTGTCTTAAATAACTGAAGTATGCAGTACATATCTTTGCTTGGCTTTGTGGTGAACTTTCTTTGTTCATAACAACAGAATGGGCCATTTCTTATCCTCCAAGGAGAGGATTAAAAATCCCAGTTTGAGCATGCCTAGTTTACTCCATCTGTTGATACGTTACAAATATTCCAGTCTGTGTAGTAAATCTTGTAAGAGAGACTTGAAAAACTTCTCTTTTGGTTGGTGTAGGCAGAAAGCTTTTCTTTCAATGGGTTCTGCTCTGTAAATCATTTATCTTTGTGCTTTTAAAAGTGTCCTACCTTTCCCCTTGAGGCCATTGGTCTTGCATGTATTTAGCTTTTTGGCAGAAAGCCATGAATGAATCATAGGCAAGTGCAGCACACATTCTGAGCTCCTCTCTTTTGTACAGTTAATGTTTTACATTTAATTTTTCTTACATTTTTCTATGTGTTTCAGATATTTTTGTTCCTTTTGAAGTTCCCAGCAATGGTTAGAAATGACACCTTGCAGTTTACAGCTGTAATTCACTAAAATAACTAGCAATCATGGCGTGGAAAGCTAGTTTTAGGAGCACATGTACTGGTAACTGTCTTCAGTGTGATAAGGTGTATTTGCCCTTCTACAATGTTAGTGTCTTCGTCTACTTCAAATTTTCATTTCATCTTTAACTTTGTTTTATTGCTCTCTCTCCTGCCTAAACCGTGCCATCCTCCCATTCTCCTGCACGTTTCCCTGCTGCTTGGTTGCATCTCACCTGGATTTAATTTCCAGCTATTTCATTCTCTTCTCCCCAAAACATTCATTTCCCTGGTCTCTGGCAGCTCCAGAACTTGTTTCCCCCACCTCATCATCCTGTATGAGCAGTGTGCCTAGTAGAGGCAGTTAGGCGGGTAGCTCCTTATTTCCAGGTGCTTTAACAGGCATCCATGCTTTCCTTCTCAGTGAAAGACACCGGTAGAAGCTACTAGACACTACCATAGGTGAATGCTAATGGGAAGGGGGTAGGTTTAGCAGATAAAATAAAAAAAGAACAAGTTAAAAATCACTTAGAAAAGTTAGATGCCTGCAAGT